GTGGGTTTGAAATGTGGTTTTTGTTAAATTAATATTCAACAAATCTATAGCTGAAAAAATAAGGACTATATCATGGTATGTTATTTTTTTATCACATTTAGTATCATATATGTGTGTATATATATATATATATATAAGTATATATATATATATATATAGCGCACAAAGCAGACGAGTGTCGCGCGCATCGATCAATTATTGCACACGATGCATTCCCAATAACATTCGATTAGAATATCATAGAGAATGCATTTTACTATAAAACACTGCGAGCTTAAAAGCTTTTTTTCGTGATTCATTTGTGAAAAAAATCGCAGATTTAAGTGTGCCGATTGCCAGCTGTTGGCGTCATTGTTAGGTTAGGACAAGTCTAAAGTTAGCTTGAAGAGATTGTAGGCTGTATCGCCAGGGGTTAAAAGAGAGGGGAGGGGATGAGTAGAAGCACAGTTGCAATGCGGAGGTTTGGTTTCTCGTGTAAATTGTCAAACGATATGAGTGGATCGCGCGAAGGATTGACAGTGTATCGAGGGATTTCGAATGGAAATATGTGATTGTTAGAGATTTCGTTCAACAGCCGCTGACAAACGGCTGTAATTTCAAGATACGACAGAGATACGGGAAAGGAAGCGAAAAACTCCGTCCGTAGCACGAAGCCGATGATCAGCCAGTCGCTTTTGGAAACTTCCAATGTTAAAGATCGCGCGCATCACGAAGACCGCTCGCGAGCCATGCAATATCGTTTGCGGACGGCTTCGTGAAAAACGCGCTTCATCGTTAACCAAGTAAATCCCTCGCGTTCGCGGAATTCTGTGACGTCACGCGTCGCGGCTGTGCGCGATCAAGTCAAGGCCGTGCGAATCCATTCGTCGATGGACTCGGAGGAAGAGCGGCGCGTGTTAACGATGCTGTTCGTTTAACGCATCTCTACTTGTCATGAGGAAAGATATGTCTACAAAGAGAGAAAATATTTGCGATGCATAAAAAGAAATACTCAGTTCTCCTAAGCTTCAGTTTATCAGCGATGTAATTTCTTCGTTGTGAATCGCTTTCCTCTGTGGATCTCGTAACTTGCCAAGAACCTAATGACGTACTGATTTGGCACTGTACACGAAATGACAGAGAGCATACGATGTTAATTATGTCATGTAATTAGATGATCATTGAGATCCTTCTAATATACTGTAAAATATATACATCAAAATCTAAATACTATTGAACAAATTTTAGAAGGACGCAACAGAAAAAATGTATTGGCTTGAGCTTTGCACTGCCATAATGAAGTTCAAACATTGATATAATTAATTGCCAGAAAGCTAAAAATCATGTCATGATCTTATAAATGTAATTAAAAATAAGAAAGCACATGACAACAGAGTGATTTATTGCATCTTCTGATTAATTAATGTTTCTTATTAAAACTCACTAAAACGGAGTGTATGTGTGTATGTATATAGATAATATATTTGCAGAAATTATAGCAGATAAATATAAAAACCGATGCATTATCAATCAAAGTTTTATATAGACATTGCTGATTTCGATATGTGTAAAAAACAAATTGCATATATAGTGAAGACAAGCAGCCTTGTTACAATTACCTCATTTGTATTGCAAATGTAACGTTGGTAAACCAAATAATAATGACAAAATAATTGTGTACGTGAAGAAATTTATAATATAATTAAGATAAAATATAATAAAATACATATACAGTGTATGCATCTCAATTACAGTGCAATATACTATTTATTTTGGACATTAAATGAAAAAAAAACTATGAAAAATGTAAACTTGATGATTAAAGGAAAGAAATTGAGAGTAATATTAAAGAACAAATTAAAATTTAATTTAGAACTGCAGAAATAGTACTAATATGACATTAAGAGAAGATCATCTATTTCTTTATTGCATATATGTAAACAGAATGATAACAAGAGCATCAATTAAGATGTGAATATGAAAGAAAATATATATAGTGACATTTCTTAGGGGTCATGCCCCCTGGGGCAAACAGTGGAACAGAGGGCTTGGGCCCGTCCTGTTCTGAGATACATAATAGTCAAGATCATGCTGTAGCTAAGCTCACACCTCCTCTTACATTTGTTCAACAATGCTACAGACATCTCAAGGTCAGCTGCTAAAACATCATAAATATTATGTATTGGGTAGAGAAGGCCATATCCATTTATCGAAATTTTACTTTATATCTGTGGTGTTGCGCTATATACATGTGTATATATATCTATATGTAGAACTGCTATAGAGTGTTACACATTGACACAATAATTATATAGCACATTACTTAAGGACTATCTCGTATTTATATCTCATATGTAATATATTATTTTATTGTTATTTTTCAGAGTTCCGGTATTGGCGAGGCAAGCGTGTATCATGCATTGGTTGTAATATTTTTGGAATTCTTTGCGTGGGGATTGTTAACCATGCCTATTATTTCGGTACTGAATGAAACATTTCCGGATCACACGTTCCTAATGAATGGCTTAATAATGGGAATTAAAGGAATCTTGTCTTTTCTTTCTGCGCCACTGATCGGTGCTCTCTCTGATGTATGGGGTCGAAAATTCTTTCTACTCATCACAGTGGCCTTCACATGTGCACCAATTCCCTTAATGAGCATTAATACATGGTGGTTTTTTGCCATGATTTCTATCAGTGGCGTATTTGCTTGCACATTTTCAGTAGTGTTTGCATATGTTGCGGATGTAACAGAAGAGAATCAAAGATCGCTGGCATATGGTTTGGTACGTGTAATTATACATTACTTGTGTATTGATAGAAATAATATCTATATTTGTATATACCAAGATTTTATATTAAAAATAATAAGAAATAAGATAATATTTAATAATGTTGAAATAACTATTTTGTTTATTAGGTATCGGCAACTTTTGCTGCAAGTATGGTGATAAGTCCAGCTTTAGGTGCTTATATCATGACAACATATGGAGAAAATCTTGCCGTAGCATTAGCAACAGCTATCGCAGTGTTGGATGTGTTTTTCATATTAGTGGCTGTACCTGAAAGTTTGCCTGAGAAAGCACGTCCACCAGCACCTATATCATGGGAGCAAGCTGATCCATTTGCAGCTCTTGGAAAGGTAAAAACTTGATATTGTATTTAATATTTTATATGTTATATTTTATAAATTTTATCAAAACAGGCAAATGTAATAATTATTTTATGTAATGCATAATTTTCAGGTATAAGAATGTCACATAATCGTAAAGTAAAAAAGATATATAATTTGCTTTACAGGTTGGAAAAGACCATACTATTTTAATGCTATGCGTTACTGTGTTCCTGAGCTACCTTCCTGAAGCGGGACAATATAGTTGTATATTTGTTTACTTAAAACTGGCTATGGGCTTCTCCGCTTTCATGGTGGCTATATTTATTGCGGTGGTGGGCATTCTGAGTGTGGGAGCGCAGATTATATTAGGACCCTTGATGAGAACACTTGGCAGCAAACACACTATAATGCTTGGTCTGTTATTTGAGATGTTACAACTCATGTGGTATGGATTCGGCTCAAAAATGTGGTAATAACATTTCTTTATTTGCACTAATAATAATATCAATATCAATAACTAATATAAGTACTTAAGCAATTAAAGTAATAATATAATTTTCTACATTTTGATGCCTACTTACATAATTTAAATAAATAATATATCAAAATATTTAAAAAAAGTAAACATTGGCTATTTTTACTTGGCTAATATAATAATATATTTTTATTTTATTAAGATATTTTGAAATGACTAGACAATATATATGTTATATATATGCTATATTTTATTGAATTAATTCAATTAATTATTTCAAGGATGATGTGGGCTGCGGGAGTGCTTGCTTCTGTATCAAGCATTACATATCCGGCAATTTCCGCATTTGTATCCATGCATTCTGATGCCGATAAACAAGGATTAGTACAAGGCATGGTAACCGGGATGCGTGGTCTCTGCAATGGACTTGGTCCTGCTATGTTCGGTGTCATATTCTATCTTTTCCATGTTGATCTTAACGATGATACGCCCAATCTTCCCTTAAAACCATCATTCTTGGATGAAACCAACAGGACAGGAACGAGTACACATCTAGATATAATGCCTCAGGTACATACATTATATTTACAGGTAAGAATAGTTTCTTTTTGTTAGTGTCTGTTTTGTATCTTATACATGCAGTATACTGACTCGCTAAAAGATATCTATGTATTTATGTGTGTATAAGTATACAAGTAAAATACTAATATTATTTAAATCGAAAATTGAAGCATTGATTAACTCGTATTTTCCAGCTTGTACCAGGGCCGCCGTTTGTATTTGGTGCATTACTCGTGATTTGTGCGCTATTGGTAGCTGCGTTTATTCCCGAATCAAATACGATGTCAACAGGATCGTTGCATCATCCATCTACTTCCCGGAGGCCCTCCGGTAAATACGCATATCAGAAATGTACGTTACAGGTTGTCAAATATGCTAAATGCCAAATATGTTTATGGTGATGGGATTCTTCAAAAATTATCGTAATGCAATTTTTTATGGATTTGTCGATTAATAGCGCATTGAGACTCGGCACATTATTACGTTTGTTCACGAAAGTTGTATTATATACAGATAGTGTATAAGGATATCAAGAATTTTCAATATTGTTAACCGTGCAATATAAGCCTTAAAAAAAATACTTTTTATTTCAGGTTTGTCTTTGGATGTTCAGTACGAAGCAGACCGAGTGGGAAGTGGAAGAGGAAAAATCGGTCCGCTATCACCACTAGTCGATAATTGTAATTCTGCCGCACTATAGTGTCTATTGAAACAAAAAAAGTGAGGCAAGCCATAATACTTGATGAGAATGTTCTAGCCAAGTGATAATACTCCATCTTTAATCGGAGATGGAAAGGTCGTCGCTATGAAGTGCACCTGACTCAAATCGGGACTGCAATAGAATTGTCTATATTGTATTATACTATTTGTTTAAGGCAGTAACTAAAGCTTGATTTTAGAACTATCGATGGAACTTAATGTTTAGGTTGTGACAAGTTTCCACAAGCAGTGCTTGTGCGATAATACGTGGGTTGATCTCAAAGTCGAGTATAATCGTATGACAAGCATGTTATGTTACAAAAGAAGAAAAATGTTAAATTAGCTCTTCCTTTTCAAGATTTTTGCGCCGACTATTAAAAATCAGACGTAACGACAGCTTATGCAAAGTATCAGTGACTCCTAATTTATGCAGCTTGCCGACGGCACAAAACGGCACATTATAAAAGTTATAATCAGTATTTTATTAGACTTATAACTTAATAATTCAGTGTTTACTTTTGATGTCGTATCTTTTCCTCTTGTGTATTTCGAATTTATGTTACCACTTTTTATATCAAATGCTAATGTAAATTGCAACGTATTTTTGCATCTCCATACATTTATAGCGCTAGAAATAGCTTTTACACATTCCTTATAAACAATAATTTTTGCACACGAAAAAAGAACATTACAATAATTGAAGAGGATAAAAATTGTTTCAGTCACCTTTTCTTTTTGTATAGATGCGATATAGTGATTACTTATCCTTTTTGTAAGTCACCTGATATAATTTAGCTGATATTTGTAGATCATGTAATCCGTCTCTTTTTGCACAAAGTATTTATTTTAATACGTAGAAATTATGAATATAACGAGAAAGGCCTCAACACATTAGGAGCAGATTATATAAAGTGATAGTTTGTCTCATTCTAAGGCAATGATAGACGTCAATACTATGAGTCATAAAACTGTATTATTAATCATTAATTGAAAATTGATAGTACTTTTAAATTATGCGTGTTAAAATCGGAGTCATTGATGTTAAAACGACAAAGTTGTATGATAGAATAGGGTCTTGTATATATTATACTTTATTTCTATTTTATAAGAATCAAGACCTTTAGGAAACATCTGTTTTCTCGCAGTGGCATTGATTTTAATAATTTAAATTATCATAGACACTCTAGTATATTTACGTAAGAAAATTGAATCATTGCAAAATAGCTTGTAGAAGACGAAAGCAATTTTAATTATTATACTGAATTGAATCTTAAAATCATTGTTTTCTTAAAATCGATTAATCTCCATTAAAACTAACGAGAGATTAATAATAACAAACATAAATTAGTTGAGAAATAACAATTAATCCAAAAATTTCTGTAGATACCCGCGTATAATATGCAATGCACTCCTACTTAAAAATCTTTAGTTGTTTTCATATCTTGTAAATTTTAATATTTTTTCGAAAAAGTTCAAAGATACATAAATGAATTAATGAATAATTTTATTATCTTTATGAATAAAAGTATTTTGATATATATATATATATTTATAATTTTAAATCATTTATACATTTGTTAAAAATAAATTGATTAGAATTGAAGGTTTCGATCAATACGGTAAAAGTACATGGCTTATGATCTTTGTCGATTGTATCAAAATTACGTGCGTTTTCTAGAATCTAGCTGTCAGTAAAGTATTACAGAATGAAATAGAAATTGTGGACAGATTAAACAGTGCAACTGCAGTTCTATAGTTTCAGTTCGTATTTCCTTAGAATTACTTACAAACTCGTTCTCATACAGTGGAGTAAATATACACGATTGTATTATAAATACAAAGCAGAAAACAGGAAGATTATAATATTAAGAATGGATATAAAGTTTAGAATAAGTCATGACTCTATCGTGAGTTAAATAATTGTATGTATAATGTACGATGAATGCATTAATAAAAAGTGATTATTTTTAAGATAAATAAAAGTCTCACATGAAAAACATCTGTAAAAATATAAAACAAAATATTCAATCACATTAACTGAAATAGTAAACTGGAAAGAGTTTTAAACATATTATGTAATCGAATAACTTCAAAATCAGACTTTATTCTGATATATATATATATATATTAATTCTACAATTATAAATTAAATAAATTAATTTTATATATATTGCTATCAATTGAATTTAATATCGCTTAAAATCAATCATCAATTTTCTATATCGAATTTAACCACAAAACCAATAAAGATTGTACAAATTCATTAGTATTAAAGTATTGATAAATAATAGTAATCATTTTCCGTTTTATACAGCACAATTGGTTGAGAAAGATTTATATTACATTGGATAGAATACTAACTGTGTTTTGTAAAATACATATCAACTTGTTGTGTTGTCCCACTTTGCTGCATAGATTCAATTGCTTTATTAACTATCATCTCTGATGTTTCTTCTGTTATCTAGAAAAAAATTTGTAAAATTTGGAAATATACAATGTACATATGTCATGCTATATTATCATGATTATTATCACGATTTAATTGTGATGGTCTTACATTATTAATAGTATCCAATACATTGTCTATATTTTCACACCTTAATAATAGCCGTCTCAAAGTGGTTAATGTAACCACAGCAACAAATACTAAAATTCGATATGCACCAACTGTTATTTTATCCCATATCCTATAATAAATAAAAATTTTAGTAATCATCCAAGTACTATGTAGTATTAAAGTTGCAGTATAATTTGCATATGATAATTTAGTACATATATACTTAGCAATAGATCCATCGCATATTATGCCAGCAAAACACGAATAAAACCATAAATCATATGGGAGATTATAAAGTGCATCAATTTTAACAAGATGCTTATATAATTCAGCATCATCTCTTTCTAACAATGTATATGTACATTCTTGTAATTTGCCCACTTCCTTTTTTAACTTTTCCACATGTACAAAGAGTCCAGATAATATCCAATACATATCGACTAGTTTCTCTTGTTCAGATTCAATATCAATCACATGCCATAGTGTCTCAGCCATTTTACTCATAGCTCTTAAAGTAAAAAAATTTTATTTTTATATGAAATTAAAGCAATATTAAATGGTAAACAACAAACCTGTGTAATGGCGATTCCAACTGAGCAGTCATGTCAACTTTTGCTCTTCTTGTACGCAGCAGCCACATTGCTAGAAATACTAGATGAGGTTTTGTACAATCATCTATGATTTTTGCAATCTTTAATGCTTTCTGTAGGTCTTGAAATTCTATTGTACGTTGAGTCATTATAAATTCATGACTTTCCACATAAACTGGTATAACATCAAGTAACACTTTCCATAAGAAATTTCTGTACATAGCAGGCACAGTAAATCTTAAACAAAACTGCTTCAGTTTTGTTTTGTCAAACGGTCGTTCTTTCAATAATATCTCCAAAGACTTTTTCTCTTCGACGCTACGAAAACCAACCTGTTATTGAAAAATAACATTAAAATATTTTGTTGTAATTGCACAACAATCTAATGGAGAAAAAGTTTTATCACAATAGTGTGTGTGTGTGTGTGTGTGTGTGTGTGTTTCATACTTTAATTGCAAAATTATATGTATTTATGTTTTAAAAATGCTTACTTTCTCATAATATGATGAACGAAAATTTCGTTCATCTGTCATTGTTGAGTGCCAATCTCGTCGAAAGTAGAAACAGAGGTAGAGATAAAATTGTATTAAAACTAAATAATTGGATTGGGAGCATTATATAATCTATCTACATGATAATAACTCGATGTCGTGCTCTTCTTTTTACATGAATTGCTATTTAAACATCCGACTCTGTGTAATATGTATATGAGCTATCTACTACACTTGTATATATGTATACGTAACACAGATACCTATGTCACATGCTTGTGCATGCCTGTGTTCATATAACCTGCAAATTCCAAAAATAAATTATTGTATTTTATATATGTAAGTTTCCGTGCTTTACTATTTTTGTGAAGAGTTTTAAATGACTTTTTGTATTACGTTTTCTCAAATTAAAAAGATTAACGTTTTTTATGCACATGATAATGATATTAATTACTCTATTCTTGTTATCATTACATCCACATGTTATTACATTATATACAGTCATAATTCTATAAATATTTGATATAATAAATATTATGATTTACCATATGACTTATTATTTTTATTTATTTATATATAATAGGTTTTTGAGTCTGCTATGATATAAACTTTACTTTTTTCCATAATTCTTGCTGTAAATTCTTTTGCATTATAGCAAAGTAGTAAGAAACAAAGTAAAATTTTGGAAATCGAATATTATAAAAGTGCCCCTATGCCGTTAATTGATATGAAATCTATAAATATATATTTCTTTTCAGTTAATATAATTATGTCTCAAGAAGAAAAGGATTTGGATGTAAATAAAGCTTTTGAAGATTTATTATTTGCAGAGGAAATTGCACAAGAATCAAGCTACGAAAAAGGTTACAAAAGTGGCAAAGAGCAATTATTAAAGGGATATCATCTCGGATATCATAGAGCTAGCATAATTGCTGCTCAATTAGGATATTACAGTGGAGTTTTAGAACACTATTTACAGAATAATGACACTAATTGTGAAAAAGCAGTGGTGATAGCCAAAAAGCTTTTAGAAGATATCCGCAGTACTTTTCCTGATCATCAAGACGACAATTTGGATATTCTAAAAGCTGTAGATAATATTAAATTGAAGTATGCCAAATTCTGTTCATTAGCCAAAATTTCTCCACTGTATCCTGAAGCAGAAAAACTTGAATTTTAATGTAATAATGGCGGAATACCACAATTATTTTGAAAAGACATTGGATTTTATTAATAGATATAAAAAATTAATAGATTGTCATTTGGTTGATTTTATTACTGAAAAATTATGGGACAAGTGTTTACCAGAAAAGCTTAAATCAGAGCTTGAAAGTATTGATACAAACGATGATATTTGGACAGAAAACAACATAAGCTCGGAATTAAATAATTTTATACAATTAACAAAATCACTTTCTTTAGAATCGTGTCCTGCTGTTATATGCGTAAACAATTTGCCAAAATTGTTACCACAATTTTTCAACCAAGAACAATTGGTTAAAAACCAATTTAACCATGCAACATCCGAATTTATGAGTACCAAGAAATCATATGAAATTGAAGTTCTTGGAAAAGTTATTGCTGAAATGGCACTTTCTACTAACAGTTTAGTAATAGATGCTGGAGCTGGAAAAGCATACTTGTCAACATATTTATCAGAACATTTCAATGTTCCTGTCTTAGCAATTGATTCATCGCAAGTTTGTCACAAAGGTGCAATAAATCGTCAAGAAAAGATTAAAAAAAAGAGACAATCGTCCCTAAAGGTTTGCATAAAAAAATATTCAATTATGTTGAATGTATAGAATTCATCATAATTTTACCAAATTTTCATATTTTTTTTCATATTCTTTTTAGGTTCGATACATAGTTCAAGAATTAAATGATATGACTAATTATAATGAAATGGTGAATACATATTATCCTAATTGGAGTTTAAACAAAAATCTCATTTTGACAGGATTACATACCTGTGGAGGACTTGTACATTCTGTAATTAAAACCTTCTTATGTTCAAAAGATATTAATTTGCTTTTTGTAGTCCCATGTTGTTACCATCTAGCAGATGAATCATTGAGTGGACGTTGGAATTTTTCTAAAAATGCTAGAATGTTGGCTCAACAATCTATTGAAAGGAGTAAACATAATAAACAACTTTCTCCTTCATTATTTTACAGAGCTGTGCTACAAGTTATCCTGCATTCTATGGGTCAGTTTTATTCAACAAATACATTTGTTATATATTTTAAGTGATCTAATTTTGTTGTTTTTAATAGGCTATTACAACACTAAAGTAGGTCGTAATGGTCCAGTGGATAATTTTGTGAATTATGCAAAATGGGCTCTATCCAAAATTGGAGTAGATAATAAACAGGTATGTGTTACAGAAATCATTTTGTAGATTACCATTTATTCATTTATTGACAAAAATTTTACAAAATATATATTTTTAGATACCTTCTATCACTGTTCTACAGGAAATATATGAGAACCATGTACATTTTGAACAAAAGTTGCATATCTTTCAAACGTTAAGAATATATATGAGTTCAGTGGTGGAGGCAGCTATTATGTTGGATAGAATAATATTTCTGCAAAATAATACCGAGAGTTCTAAGATTGCTATAGTACGCTTGTTTGATCCAACACTCTCACCCAGATGTTATGCAATAATGGCAACAAAGTAAATATAATAAATATAATAAAACGAAAATCATAATGTAAAATAAAAGTCATAATATAAAAATATAGAAAAGAGATATGCAAAATCTTAAAAAAATAAAAAATTTTACAAATTAACTTGATTCATTTTTTTCAATCTTAGTATAAGCATAAATAATTAAAATACGAGTAATTTAATATTAATAAAATATCAATAATTTAACATATATGCAAGCAAATTTAGTATAAATTTAGATGAATGAATTGTGTATAAAAATATTACTCTGTATCCTCAAATTCTCCTACTTGCAGATAATCCATGACAGATGAATATCCTTCTTCCTGTGCAGTGGGGGCTAAAATTCCTGTAGGGCGAAGTCCATTTCTGGTTCGACATATACTACAATTACATAAGCCTCTACAAGGTGGACAAGCCCAGTCCTAAAAAATTGCAAGTATTATGGGAAATGTTCATGAGTAATAAGATATAATTTTTATATAAAATACAATAAAATTGTATAAAATATAACCAAACTTACAGGATCTTTTAATGCATCTGCAGCATTTTCGCCATACCTTCCTAATAAGCATGGTCCACAAAATTGTCCTCTAACACCTACACATTCTCCTGATCTACAAATTGTTTTTGTATCTAAAGTCTTCTGTCTACATTGATGACAAGAAGTACCGTTGATTTTACAATATGTTTTCTGGGTACTTTTCTCTGCTACATTTTCTAACATTTCTTCTGTAATTTCATCCACTGATGGTATATTTTCTGAATCTGATGATTTTCTTGTTCTGTAACCTCTTCGTTTTCGTTTATTTTCCACATAGCTATCATCATCAGATGTGTCATCTTTTTCCTCTTCTTCCTCTTCATCCACATCACATACAATTTTCATCAAATCAATGGATCGTTGAAATGGCTTTGCCCATGGAAATAAAACTTTCAACTTTGGTCGATTGCTTTTAAATTTTGACAAATTGTTTTCATTATTCTCATCTTCGGAATCAGATTCACTGCCGTTGGATGTCATTTTTCTGCTTCTAGTGTTGTACTTCCGACGAAACTCCAGACGTATTCCATTGTTTCTAAAATCTTCCAAATCTTTAGTAGTTCTGCGTTTTTTCCTAGGTGGTTGATTTTTATTATAATTTTGCTCAATTGAATGTTTTTTCTCTAGTTTTTTAATTTCATCGGTTTGCTTCTTTATGTCTTTAAACAGCTCTGCAAACTATACGAGAAACATTATTAATATGAAGAAAACTGTAAAGATCGGTTAGTGAGGTTATTAATCATTTCATCGAGAGTGTAAAGTACTTACAAGAGTTTTTCTCTCTGCTTCATTTTTTGCCCGAAGGGCATCATAATCATTTTCATCCATATGTTAATTAAAAGGATATGAAAAGATATCAAAATGAGAAAATAACTCTTTTGTAAGGACAAGTTATATTCGTTTCGATACGTTTCAACAGTTAAATTTTTGAATCAGTTTAACGTAATTCCAATGAAGTGGCGTACGTGTTGTAGTTCTGACGGAAAAGAATCTATAGTCGATAAAAGAGAGCTTGAAAATGTCAGTATCATAGCTAGATAAATAAATCTTTATATAATTTTTAACACATATATACGTATATTTTGCACTATCATAATAAATCGATTCTTATTCCATTATTAAATAGCGCTAACAATTTCGCTGTAACGACAAAATTCGTCTTGCTGTGATTGCTTTGACTCTGTTTTAAACTACACATATATCTTGCTTTAATAACTTTAGCAGTAATTTCATGTTTCTGTGAACTTTTTTTATTTTGCAAAAAAAAAACAAGTTTTACTACTTATCAAAGTTAATTACGGTAGTGAAGTTTGAACGTTTTCACATTAAATGCATAGCAGGCGTGATAGCAATTACAGTTTTGCTGTGACAGCAAAAATCTTTCTTATCATGTAAGAAGTTAAATCGTCATCATTTATTTAAAGGATGTGATCGCAAAAATAATTCATCTCTATTTCACGTAAGTTGCGTATAAATTCATACACGTGATTCGTGTATAAATTCATACAAATTGATTTTAATTTCCATGCGTTTCTAACAGATTGTCTCTTTCATAAAATACGAAGATATATCATAAAAATGTTATTACTTCATTGAAAACGTTATCGGTGATAATATATATGACAAGAGTAAACGTATCACGGTGGGAAAGTAATAAGCTGGTGTGGCATACGTGTAAGCGAGAGACGTATAGCGTGATGTTATCCAGTGCTACTTCGACACTCTTGTACACGATTAAGATAAACAAAACTTGAACTAGAATCGCAGAGCACAATCATTCGTCAGTCCGAGTAGAGCCACTGGGGTAAGTTTATTGACGTATATAACCGTATATTATACGTATATTATATATAATATAATTTTAAGTGGTCTTTAAAAACTCTGACCGCTGGGAATATATTAAATAATGGCCTCTGAAAACATAATAAGAATTTATACATTTATTAATTTAGTAAATAATAAATAATTTTTCTCTTTTAACTTTTTGATAATTAATTTACAATTCTGTACAAACATAAAAATTTTTAAACTTTGAAAATCAGGAGCAAAAGAGTCAAGGCAAGATGTATGTGCAAAACATATATTATAGATATATGATAAGAAAGATATAAACATAATCGGTTCTGCATTATTAGACCATCTGCAATGTCATAACAATTAGAAATTGTATATACATATATTTTAATTTTTCAGATGCATGTGAAATTGGGATAGTTCTGTCATACTTACACTTTATCATAATCATCATTGAGAATAGCAGCTGTGAACACTTTGCTTCAATTTATGACAGACCACTTAGCTTATGGTCGAAGAACTTTAATATCCAATCTCTTAGTTGTGGTTCATCACCAGTTTATTGTCGTGCGTCTTGATTGACAAAGAAGTAACTCAACAATTCCTTCAATGGCTCCATTAGCGAGAATAGCGCTGCTAAATATCAAAGGACCGGCAAGAGCATTATTATGCGCCCAATCTCAGGTAACGTATTTAGTACTAATTATACTAATGTGAATATTAAAATGCAACTATTATTCAATTTTACTACGTAAAATAATTATATTTAGTATATTCTTAAACATATATATTAAAAATATTGTTTTTTAATAAAAAAATAATTTATATTTAATTTATTTACAATTAATTTTATTCAAATTTATTTAAATTTTAAATTTTTACATATATTTCTTTTTTAAAAATAATTTAAAATACTTACAAATGGTTTGAAAATGGATAACTCAAACATTTCTCTCTCTCTTTTTAGAGCATACAAAACAATTGCTGCAAAACAATTACATCGCAACAAGTGTTCGATCGTGAATCTAAATACGGTGCTCATAATTATCATCCACTTCCTGTGGCTTTGTGTAAAGCTCAGGGTGTTTTTATGTGGGACGTCGAAGGTAAAAGATACTTCGACTTTATGAGCGCTTATTCAGCAGTTAATCAAGGCCACTGTCATCCTAGAATCTACAAAGTAATGGTCGATCAAGCAAAAATTCTAACTCTAACATCTAGAGCGTTTTATTCTAACGTCTTGGGTGAATTCGAAGAATATATTACAAAACTTTTCGGGTACGCAGTGTTACTTTTGAATTCTGATATATTGATAAGATTAACTGATACGTTATGAAATCTAAAGTATGAGATTAGTGGAAGTAAATGTATTTGCATTACAGATAAGCTATATATATGTGATACATCTAGTGTTATATCTGAAAATTTATTAAAAATTAAGAATTACAAAACTCAAAATACTATATGAAATAAAATTAGATACTAAACTATAATGTAATTTGAAAGTTTCATTAAATAAAGACAGTTCCGATAAAAAGTATTGTAATTTATGTATCACGCAATAATTTATGTAGTTTTGTGCTTTTTTTAATACTTTGTTTCTGTTCATTTTACTGATAAATGTAAGATCTTTAGACAAAAAATTAAATACTTAAATAATTTTCCTGAAAAATTTGCAATACATTTTATTAATGCATAGAATTCATCAATACTTACTTAAAATACTTAAAATATTTCGTGCCTTAGATACGACAAATGGCTACCGATGAATACAGGCGTGGAAGGTGGCGAAACAGCATGCAAATTGGCACGCAAATGGGGATATTCCAGCAAAAATATACCACAAAATCAGGCCAAAATAGTATTCGCGGAGGGTAACTTTTGGGGAAGGACCATGAGCGCCGTTTCCTCGAGTACCGATCCGACCAGCTACAGTGGTTTCGGACCGTTCATGCCAGGCTTCGAGGTCATTCCCTATGATGATCTTGCGGCGCTTCAGCAAGCTCTCACCGATCCGACTGTCTGCGCCTTCATGGTGGAGCCTATCCAGGGTGAAGCTGGGGTTGTGGTTCCCAAGGTAACATCCTGTATGAATATTCAAATGTGAGAAAACCAGCAATGTCTAATCTTTATCCTTAAACTTGTTTTCATTTAAAAAAAGGAGGGATATTTGAGAGGAATCAGAGAACTTTGCACGAAACACAATGTCCTATGGATCGCAGATGAGGTGCAGACCGGTCTAGCTAGAACAGGCAAACGACTCGCCGTTGATCACGAAAATGTGAAACCGGACATTCTTATTCTCGGTAAGGCCTTATCCGGCGGGTTTTATCCCGTTTCCGGTGTGCTGGCGAACGATCCCGTCATGCTCGTCATCAAACCTGGCGAGCATGGATCAACCTACGGTGGAAATCCTCTGGCATGCAAGGTCGCCCTGGAGTCGCTTCACGTTTTGGAGGAAGAGAAACTCGCAGAAAACGCAGAGAAACTTGGTCACGTGCTTAGGAATGAACTTAACAAGCTACCGAAGGAAGTGGTCACCTTGGTGAGAGGAAAGGGTCTTTTAAACGCCATCGTCATTAACAAAAAACTCGACGCCATGAACGTCTGTTTAAAAATGAAAGAACACGGTCTTTTAGCAAAACCAACACATGGGCACATCATTCGGTTGGCACCACCATTAGTTATCACGGAAGACCAAATACGCGAGTGCGCGGATATTATTTCCAGAACTATTCTTACATATTGACAATTTAATCGTTACATGTCTCACTCAATTGCAATTGTTTTAACATAAATATATATTTTTACTAAATATATACTAAATATATTTTATGAAATAATTTTATATATTTCGAATACAAATGTCAAAATAATGATTTATTCTCGATACATTATATCTATATCATTCTCCTGAGTTACTCGGTATATGTGTGTCGTATGTAATTTAATAAGGCTTTAACTGAGTGCAATGTTCGCCTTGATCTTTATCTGCTATATAAAAAAAATTTGTTTTGTTGTTGCTTTTGATAGATCATGCAGTTATCAAGTAATATACTACAAGGATTAAACAGCTCACGATTGCATTGACGTATCTTCGTTAAAAATTGTGCTTATTTATGAAACGATTAAATGCTACATATAAATACAATGCATTCATTTGACTGGTCTCTCGCGACAATTTTCTGTTCCACAGAGAGAAGCTAAATATACCATGTTGGATGGAATCGTTATCTTCGTAAAACGTTAAAAACTAACATGGTGAATAAGTTATTCATTTACGTTCCTGCTATTAATAGCTTAATGTGATAACATTCATTCTCTACGTAAATAACGATGTATTTCTAGCGTAATGACATGGGGGATTAATGCAAGATAAAATGTATCGAGAAATATATACGTATAATGCACCAAATGTTGTAATTATATATCAAATGGTATTTTGAAATAAAATTTTATACTTTATTTCAATCAATTCATTATATCACTATTCTTCATTTTAATTCTCTTTTAAATATCTAATGATGTAAAAAAATGGTCTAACAAAAGTATTTGAAATTAAATTTTACTTTCTTAATATGTCATTAAAAGAGATTAAATTGTTCATTGTTACTTGTTTACTTTGGCACGCTGGCGCCTTTATTCCATTCTGTGTTTTTATCAGATACGTCTCCAATGGTATTTATTCTAAATCCTTCTGTCGCAATGCTTGTGTACAAATAAGCTCACCAGTAAATAAGCAGTCATATCCACCGTATCTTTTGCCATATCTTTCGCCTCTTTGATATAAAAGCAAGATCAGCGAAGTTGCCGTCAGACATCTTACATTCATACCTGTGTTAAAGAGGTAGTACTTCTTGTATAACAATAAAACTATTTTCTTTTTTATCTCTACTCTATTGAATATCTCTCGACGTTTTTTTATCTGCTGGTAAAATTTTGTTTAGCTAGAAATAGTCTTCACATTAAGATAAAAATAAAATGTAATATTTTCAGATAAAATAAATTGTTTTTAGTAACAAATGGCTTTCAAATTGTCAATTCCAATTTTATAATTACCATTATTCTTGAAGAATATCTCAATATTTTAATTGCTTTGATTGATCATATTCCAATAGTAGTAAAACAAAATAAAACAAATATTTGTACATTAATATTTATCGATTTTAAACAGGAACAAAGAGAAAAAACGTGACCATGCAATCTGTGCGACAAAGATTCTTCAATATTGTAAAAGAATCGGACAAAAGAAGATTTTTGAGTTCTCAGCAAATAATCGATCGTGATAATAAATACGGTGGCATTCATTTCAAACCATTACCGATTGTTTTATCCCGAGGGGAAGGTGTTTATCTGTGGGATATCGATGGAAAGCGTTACCTCGATTTTCTGGCGGGATTCTCAACCGTCAACCAGGGTCATTGTCACCCGCGTCTGGTGAAGATCATGAGAGAACAGGCTGGGAAGCTGACACACACATCAAGAGCCTTCTATTCGGAACCTCATGGCGAATTGGGAGAATATTTGACGAAACTTCTAGGATGGGATCGATTTTTACCCATGAATACAGGTATAAATTTGCTTAAGAATCACGATATTTCCTAAAAAATAAATATTAATTCGAATCTTAGTAATTATCGGAAGACATCTTAGTACCGTTTTTAAGAAAATAAAGAATTAAGAATTAAGAATAAAGAAAATTTTTATTACCAAACAACGCGAAGTTAAAGCATTTCTTTTTCTATAACAGGCGTCGAAGGTGGTGATACGGCTATAAAAATGGCCCGACGCTGGGGATATAGAATAAAGAAAGTGCCCAATAACAAAGCTACCATTGTGTTCGCTGAGGGAAACTTTTGGGGTCGTTCATTGGCGGCTTTGTCAGCCTCGACAGATCCGAACTGCTATACAGATTTCGGACCCTATGTGCCGCTCTTTGAGAAAGTACCGTACAATGATCCGGTTGCTCTGGAACAGAAATTCCAGGAAAACCCTAATATCTGTGCGTTTATGATGGAACCTATCCAGGGAGAAGCCGGTGTCGTTATACCTACTGTAAGTTAATGAGGAATAGATAAGTGCATATTGTGAATACATAGTTTAAGTGATTAAAATATTATTATTATTATTATTATTATTATTATTATTATTTGAAGTACCTTGCTTGTTTTACTGATAAACAGAAATACTGTTTTTATTATGAAAGATAGCGCAGCTTGAGGATTTCTTCTTATTATCAATACTTCATAATTATTTCTCTCAATTCTTTCGTGTTTTTGTTTTTCAGGATGATTATCTACAACGTGTAAGAGAACTGTGTACAAAGTACAACGTTCTATGGATCGCCGATGAGGTGCAGACTGGCCTTTGCAGAACTGGCAAGCGCTTGGCAGTTGATCATGAAGGTTACAGACCGGATATTCTTATTTTGGGAAAAGCACTCTCTGGCGGCATGTATCCGGTTTCTGGTGTTCTAGCAGATGATCAGGTACCTGAAAAAAATTCGTTTATCTGTTAAAACCATTCTACATTTCATATATTTCTTTTATAGATGCAACTTTATAAAATCTAAAATATGTTAATAATAATTATTTATATTTTAAATTTTAAATAAAAATCTTAAAATTTTATACAAGCGATAACGTATATTTACTCTTATGTAGAAGCTCCAAAGTACTGCTGTATCCGGTATTAATCGCTATCATTCAAAGCGATAAAGATCTTTTATCCACGCTGATCATTTTTCCAGATAATGCTTTGCTTGGAAACGGGTTCGCATGGAAGTACTTTCGGCGGGAGTCCGCTCGGAAACAGAGTTGCCTTGGAAGCAGTCAAAATCTTGGAAGAGGAGAACCTGGCAGAGAACGCGAAGAAACTCGGCAACATCCTGAAAGAAGAACTGATCAAGTTGCCAAAAGATATCGCGACGGAATTTCGTGGACGTGGTCTTTTAGCCGGCCTTGTAATTAATAAAGGTATTATACGATCATAAATCAATCTTTTGAGTTACTGATAAATTGTTAACAAATGAAATTTCATCGTGCGATATGAGCAAAGATAAAATATTTATTGATCCCGAATCATATCTTGCAATCTGCAATTTTATTTTATTTTTTTTTTTTTACTTACTTTAAGCTCTAGAGAATTGTGTACAAAAGACGAATAATATTTCTACTTTATGTAACGAAACATTGAATTTTATTACAACTGCATAATACACTCGATGAATTTTTTATTTGCAGAGTTTGCCAATGGTTGGGATATCTGTCTGAGGCTGAGAGACGCTGGATTGTTATCAAGACCTGCACATGGTCAAATCATTAGAATATCGCCTCCTTTAACGATCACGGAGGAGCAACTGCGCGAAGGAATAAATATTCTCACTACAGTCCTCAAAAGTTACAAATAAAGGACTTTGATTAACAAAGGATTTAAAAAATTTCACCAAAATTATACGAATCGAAAATAATTTTCTAGTTAACAGACAGAGATTACTTCTATTTTGATACTATTTTATTAATTCCAGACAATCTTGAGAGCTTAAATCTAGATTTCTATATTTTTGGGAATACATGGAAGTGATGATAAGAGAGTAAGAATAAGTCAAAACGAAATTTTAAAATTATAAAATATGTATTCGCAACGATTATTTACATTTATATATATATATATATATACAAATTATAATTTATATTTATCAAATAAATTATATATGTGACTCATTATGTTTCTTTAAATGCCTTGTTAAACTAAAAGATTGCGAAAACATTTGATTACACTGATTGCATTTATATGTCTTTGAACCGGTGTGTAAATTTAAATGCCTTTTTAGATGATTAGCTAGCTTGAATCTCTTCCCGCACAATCGACATTGATGTTGTCTCAAACTACCGTGCGAGGCTTCATGATTTTTAAGATGGCTCGATTGTGCAAATCTCTTGCCGCATAACTTACATGCGAAAGGTTTTACTTTGGTATGAATACGCAAATGTTCAACTAAATTACCTTTTTGGGCAAAACGCTTGTCGCAATATTCGCATTTATGCACTTTCGACGACTTGTGCGTTTGTAAATGCATCTTTAGATTATAATTATGGCTAAATTGTTTATCACAAATTTCGCATTGCACTAAACCTTTTCCAGTGTGAAGTCTTTCGTGAGCTTTCAAGTTTTTCAAAAGCCGAAAACGTTTATTGCAAGTGTTACATTCAAAGTCTTTGCTCTGTCGTGTATTATCAGTTTTATTGTGAACTTTTATATGTTCCTCTAAATACGATGGATATGGAAATATCTTATCACATACCTTACATTGATGTATATTGGTTTTCGTGTGTAATCTCATATGTGCATTGAGTTTGCTCTTCGATGTGTAAGCTTTACCACAGCTTAAGCATTTAAATGGTTGTTGGCCAGAGTGAGATAATTGATGAGCAAATAATTTCGATTTTTGTAAAAATTGTTTGGAACATATCTCACACTGATACTTCTTTGCATGAATATCTTCCGTATCTTTCATGTCCAAAGATTGCTTATAATTATTGTCAGTTGGACATCCTTGATATTCAATTATGAGTTGCTTATCTTTTTCCGATGCCTTTATAAAACTTAAATTTTCTGCAATTGATACATCATTTTCGGAATGTATCGTTATATTTTGTATGCGTTCCGAACTACTTTCCTGAACACCATCCAGATCAATATTCTCAGGAAAGTTTATATTCTGTATTCCGTCATTATCATCTACAGTGGACTTTTGATAAGATAAATTTTGAATAGGATTATCGACAGAATGAATAGATCTTTCGTAACTTAGATTTTGAGGAATGTGATTAGAATTTTCACAAATCTCTATATTTTCATTATCACACGATATGTCGACATTCTCCGTACTATGTGTTATATTGTGACTTATTAACTGTCTCCTATTAGTAAAAGTGTGATTGCATAAAGAGCAATGTAAGGCACAGGCAGCTCGACTAGAGCTTTCTTCATTCAACGACATGGTATGCATCATATTTGATCTAACTAGTGGAGACAATTGTGTGCTTGGTATACTATCATTAACAAAGTTTGAGCTGACATGAGTAAAGTTAAGATATGGATTTTGAGATTCTACGATGTGCATGTGTTGCATAGGTATGTTATCCTGCATAAAAGGCAAATGCAACCGATTGTGGGCACAAAGTTCTTGATAATTCATAAACACAGCACCACATTCCACACATTTTAATGTCTTATGAGAATTCTGCACAGGTACAAACCCTTGATTTTGTTGATTTTGATAGAGCTTACAGCCAGAAACAGTAGTATACGATGTTAGTCCAGATACCTGTTTGAACATATTCAAATATTATAATAATATAGCTACATGTGTATAGCATAAATTTGTACCGTACCTTTAATGCTGCTTGTCTCAAAGCTCTGTCTGCTGCACGACACTGTTCTCTGTATAAAAGGGCTGACTCTGCTCTGGTGACACAACGATCGCACATCTTTTCAGGTAAGCCATCTCCTTGCCAGACCTACAAACATCAGATGTAAGGTTAATCTTACATAAGTTTACATCAAATATAAAATAGAAAATGTACTTGCTTCCAGGCACGAGAGAGATCGCAATTTAGCGGCGAGTGAGGAACCAGCCGGACCCACGAATAAACACACCATTTTGTCACCGTCTTCTCTCAAGCATGTGCGACACAATTTACTAATGTTTTCACTGTCGATCTCCTTCGTGACTATAAACATTCTTTTATCGTTCAATAAACAGCTATCTCGAAAGATATTAGACGATCAGTCTTCATGACACACCGGGAAAGGTTATATTGTTTAGCATCTATGTACATCGCCATATTTCATTCGTTTCACTTTGTTGACACTAGATGTCGTCACTACATCGTAACCGTTACCGCAATGAAACTGCAAAATTGAGAAAAGCGCGAACGTTCAGTCAATCGGTCATTTGAAATGGCGGCGATGAATCGGCTAGACGAGCGGTAATCCCATCTCCAACAGATTAAAATCCACATTGATCACGTCCATCGAGGCTTTATCGCGGCGATGTGTGATGTGGGACACACGTATGCGCGATACATGACTATTAATTCGTGCCGAATTTGCATCCGTTTCAATACAGCCGGGATATTGACTCGTGCCGGAGGCTTTTGCTAGCTTTCACTACACAGCCAAGGTAAATTGTTTTCTTTTCATTTCATATTGGTATTTTGATGTTTGGTAAACACGCCAGCGCATCTAGGCGTTGCTTGCGAACGGACGTAATCCGTATTTTCCACTCCACTCTATTTCACTGTAACCTGATTCAATTGTCTCTCTTTTGAAATCATCGCAGGAAGTTTCAAGAAACTTCTATTTTCTAGCATATCTATGTACAGGTTATTTTATATATGAGTATACAAAATATTTTTATATATAGTTTATATAAATTTAATTTTATTATTTAAATCAATTCAGTTAATATTGTTTTATATAAGTTACATATTTCTACAAAATTATTAAATTTTTAATATTTATATATACATTAATTTTTTTATATTTAACACAAATGTTAAGAAATGAAATAAAGAACCAAGATATTACATTACTTACAATTTTTACAATAATATATGAATGAGACAAACGAGGAATTCTAAATATTGAATTTGTATTGATACAATCGTTTGACAATTCGTTTAACAGAAATGAAACCATTTATGAACAATTTCAACAATAATATATATAGTTCGTTTTATTCATAGTGATTTACGATGGTTTAAATGTATCCTTATGATCGCTGCTGACAATATTGATTCCATTAATGAAATCGGCGTTTAAATGGATAATATTGACAGAATAGTAATTGGATAAATAACATTATCAATAAATACATACATACCCGACTAATTTATATTGCCAAAAACGCGCCACTGAAATTTATTCCAAACAGTAGCGATCGATTGCTGTCGATCAATGCATATGTATTATGTGTTTGATAAAATAACTCATTGGCTTTTTTAATTTCAATTTAATTTTATAATATAAAATAACAAATATTGAAATCAATATATATTATCAATATTGATTTAAGTATTAGTCAAATTTTAATTTTAAACAGATAACTAAGATAATATTATCAAATCTCCTTTTTTTTCTAAGATACAAAAAAGCGACAAAAATACAAATCAATATATCTATATATAATAGTACAATATATAATTTTTAAATATTTTCTTTTAAATAGCTGTAATAAGATATTAAGATGCAATATCTGTTGCATAATAGTACTAAAATAGAGAAACAAAAAATATCTTTTTTTAATTGTGTCATAGAATTTTATATATGTTAAAATTAAACGAAAATATCGATTTGTAAAATTAATAATAAAACAATTTTTCTTAATTAAAATAAATGCTATACATTTTTTAAAAATATTAAAGAATATAAAAATATATTAAAGAATAAAAAAATTAGAGCGATAAATTTTTAATCAAGTATTCCCGAGAAAAATGGTATAATATGGTCAGATGTAAATATATATAATTAGTTATGAAAAGATCTGATAACATGTAATATTTTATATGATCATATAAAATTACATATGTTATCAAATATTTTCATAACTAATTATATATATTTACATCTGACCAATTATCATTTTTTCTCGGGTTTCCTGGATATTTTAATTGAAAATGATTAATAGGAAACATATATGTATATGACTGAAACGATGGCACGCGTAACAATAATCGATATATCACTGAAAAAAAATATGTTGCCAATAACTCGAATAGTCAGAATTTTGCAAAATAGCGTTTTAACAACACGCGTCAGTTTTTGGTAAAAGCGCTTGTGAATAATAGATTCAACAACTTCGTCCAATGATCTGAAAGTTCGCGGCAAATATTGGTGTTTTGCTCATGAAACGCATATCGTAAATATCAATGACCGAATTTTCCTCTAAAAAATTAATCTTTCCACGTAAATACGCAATTTCTGTAATTTCTAAAACAAAATTTACACAAGCATGTAAATATGCTGTATAATTATTATAAATACTTATAATATAATTTTTTAAATAAGTTGATAAAATTACAAGACTATTGTGTATTGCTGATAACTCTTTTTAACTTACAATTAGCGACAACAAAGTGACCGTAAAGAGAGCTTTGAATTAAATCTTCCATGAAGAAAAATTGCATGTAATCATCATTGATAAAAATATAATTTAGCATATAGAAAAAGTGCAAGGAGAGAATTCTCTGAGTGACTTTGATGGACGAGGCTAAATATATTATTTAATTACCTTTTGTTTAAACTGCTACTACGAATATAGCGAGATTTTCTACTCGGGAAGTATTTCAATCTTAATGTAGACTTAGGATCTCTATAAGCAAGTTTCGACACGGGATAAAATTCCGATAATTTCCTGATTGATTTATTAGAAAAGCGCATCTGATTTTTGCGTAAGATAGAACGTACTGTAGAGAGAGAAATCTTATCCGCATATAAAATGTACAATATATAAAAGTGATAGGTTTTACGGAAGTGATGCATGCGAACATGTAACCACACGTACGCGAATACAATTTATCATAAATTTACAAGTTGTTAGGATATTTTAAAAATAACATTTTCGTTAATATTTGTTATTTATTTCTAAGAAAATATAAGGAATAATCACCACAAATATATACAAAACTGAAAAAATGTAGCTATACATTTATATATATATATACATGGTTTCCATGTACATACATCCGTTAATAGTAGATTCCTGAGGTTATTTGAAGAGGAAAATCTTTATATTAAAATAGCGAGTTTACAATAGTTTTTAGATGGAAAGTGTTGAAAGTTGACCAGTCAGTTGTCAAAAATTTGCGCGCTTAAGCACGTCGCGTATTGATTTTAATATCCTTACCATGAGAAACCTCAAAAATTTGCTATTAACGGGTAATACGGTTAGTCTGAGACATTTTGTATAACTTATATTATTTTTAAATCTATTCTCTTAATGATATTAAAATCAAACAAATTGGATTAACGTACTGGCACGATATGCAGCAGCGGAGTTGTTCTTGTTTAAGTTGATCTTTAACATACAAAGTACCTTTAAATTATAGCAACGTTTAAAATCATTATTTAAGAAATAATTATTACGTATATTATACTTGTATTCATCTCTCTTTCTTTTTTTTTTATGCAAATATTTAATAAAAGAATTCTATGTTCTACCTAAAAACTGTAATTTGATAATTAATAATAAATATGTTAAAAAATCTAATAACCATAAATATTAAAAAATGCAAACTTTTTATTGAATATTTCAAAGCTTTTATGTGCGTTACATTATTGCGCTGTATAATATTTTACGTGCAATATTTGGCAAATAACAGATAACAAATAAGTGATTATTTACCCTAAAGTTTCTTCACTGATGCCTAATTCTTCCTAAGCCTCTATTTTCTCTCAGTTCTTCCTATTTGTTATCTGTTATTTGTCAAATATTACATGTAAAATATTATGTAATGTAACACACATAGAAACTTTGAAATATTCAGAAAAAATTTGCAATTTTTATAATATTTATGGTTATTAATTGATTATAGATTTTTTGATAAATATAGAATTATTTTATTAGCTATTTGCATAAAAAAAGAGAGATGAGTAAAAGTGTAATATGCGTAATAATTATTTCTTAAATGATGATTTTAAACGCTGGTATAGTTTGAATGTACTTTGTATGTTACAGATCAATTTGTGAACAACTCTGCTTTTGCGCATTATATCGGCAAGTCAATCCAATTTGTTTTATTTTAATATCATTAATATAAATTGATTTAAAAATAATACAAAATGTCTCATTGTCAGGCTAACTGTATCACCCGTTAATAACACATTTCTGAGGTTTTTCATTTAATAAGGATATAAAAATCAATATGCGATGTGCTTAAGCACATGAATTTTTTAATAATCAGACTGATTCCCCTTTAACATTTTCCATCTAAAAACTATTGTAGCCTCGACATGTTGGTATAAAAATTTTCGTCGCCAAATGACTTCAAAAATTTACTATTAACGGATGATACAATTGGTTTGGGACACTTTGTGTGTGTTTGTAAATTGTTCAATAATTTATTAAATTGCATAGATTGCAATTAAATTAGAACATAAAAATTAAAAAAATTAAGCTTGAAGCTTAAAGTCTTATTATCTATTCAGTTCAGAATTAATCCTAGAACACCAAAGTGTAACAAAACTTTTTTTAGTATTGTTAACATATTACTATTGTTATTAAATAAAAAAATAAATTTAAAATTTTAGAATGAAAGATCTAGCTATGAAAGATTTCTTTTTCTCTTGATGATGCAAACAAATAATAAAAGTTTGGTGTTCTTAGACTTAATTTGCGAAAAGCCTTTATTTTTGCATTGCTGTTCTTATACTTATAACAGATTGTGCGCTTACCTCGTTTTGACTAAGTTTTCTGCGAAAATATATCGGAGAAAGTTTTCAACAGGGATACCACTGATGATGATTTGGAAAAAGATTCTCGAGAGTTCTTTATTCTCGTCGCGAGACGCGATGATAGAGATTGAATTCCCTCGCTTCGAGACGACGGTAGATCCATACGTCTTTCGCGGAAGATTCGATCTCTTGTGCGTGCGTGCGCGGTATGTATTCGCGAGCCGTGATTTAGACGAGTAAGAGAACGGGAGAAATTTCTTTCGAGCATTTCTCGAACGAGTTTTCCAACAAATTCGATCGTCGAGCGACAAGAAAACTCGTGCATGTCTGTGCCATTATCCGCGAATGCGGATTATTGCGTATACGTTCAAGCACCCAACGTGACAAGTGCATCGCGTTCCTTTCTGTTTATTGAGAGTTTTTCTGAAATATAGAAACATTTTCATTTTATTCAATATACAAACAGATACTTTCATGTAAATTTGAAATTTTCGGGAAAATAATGATGGTAATTAAATTTACTAATATCAATAAATAAGCCATGTCATCAAACATTAACGAATTAGCATAGAAACTATTTTCAATTATTTACATTTATATATTTATGTACATTATATAATAATATATATAATTATATTCCATTTATTATTTTTTTATTCATGATTTTAAAGATCTAAAAATTATTTAACTGTTTTAAAGTTGGCTAATTTTTAAGAAAAACATAATTTT